TAACAAAGATTTTTGTTCCCATAAAGTTATCTTCCCTGTTATGGGATTCTCTGAATTATAGCATAACAAAATTATCTCTCAAACAATTTTGTTGTAGAGATATTTCATCTTAATTGCTATTATTAATCTGCTCTATAATTATCAACTGCAGAAAATACAGGAAAACCTCTGTAAGTCAAATTTTTTGCAAGTCCCTGTCTGAATTCCCATAGAATCAATACATTAAAAACATCCCTCACTCAAAGTCTTTTTCTCCAAAATCTCTGTAAGTCAAGTTTTCCAAGGCCTTCTGGCTATTATTTCCTTGAACTACAAAAGAGAAAATGATTAAAACAAATAATCTGATGCATCTTGAAAGGAATTGAAAGACAAATATAGCAAATGAACCCCAGCCTCCAAGTTCAGCAAGGTGTAAACTCATCAAGGAGCAAGTTTAGGCCCAGAATATCCTCATTTATGATTTTCCACACTTTTTTTCACTTCTCCGCCTCAACTGGAAACCTAAACAAATCAAAACCTCACTAAGTCGAATTTGTATCCTGGTCCCTAGAAATTCGACTTACAGAGATTCAACTGTAATCGAGAAGAAGGGCTCTTGACGCCAAGAAAAAAAGAGGAAGAGATCCTCGATCTGAGCTAACTCATCTCTCATGATTTCCGACTCGGCACAAATGTGCTCATCGCTGTGAATAAAATAAGGTACAAAAATCTCCAAAAGGATTTCTTCGACATGATAAGGGAAGAATTCCATCCCGTGATTAACACGGCGACGAGAGTCATTAGTGGATACGATTCGAGTTGGTCCAGCAACACCGAGCGGGTGAGACACAAGCCATAGGCACCCATACCATAAGCGGAATCGGAGTTCGTTTTTCCCAGAGTAACACGGTCACTTACAATCACAAATACTGTACTTCGAATAGCAAAATTATTTCAAAGAAAATCGCATGCATGCCACCAACACAATAAAAACCGCATTAGATCGCGTGAGTTCTAACGTACACAGATGAATACCGCACCCACACGATTTCAAGACGCAACAAATTTTCAAGTAATAGCACTAAAAAAAATCGGGAGAATTTGAAACTATTTTTCACATGCTTCAAAATTAAAAAAAAAAAATGGTGTGGATTTTGTGAATGAAACTATTGTACTGTACAACATATACCTGAACACAGATTACTGCGAACTGAAGCTTACGGCGAATTCTCCTCAAGCAAAATTAACCTTGCACACAATACTTTAAAGCTTTACTTGCAACAACAAAAATTACATGGATGAAATCTTTGCCAGTTACTTTCTCACAGTTGCAGTTATAATCTGTAATTATTCTTTTTTTTCATTTTATCTCGGATCCCACTTGAGTTTTGATTAATATAAGAAGTTACGGAAGGAATTTTTTATTGGTCCAATGAATCATTCAAATGGGCGAAAATGTATTCACTACCAAATGGATTCGAGATTGTGGGTTTTTGCTTAAAAAAGCGAGTCTTTCATTCGCACGTTTCCCCGCTAAAATACAACCCACAGCCTATACCGTACCGCACAATAATCGTGAACTCAAGTTTCGAAGAATAATTGAGTAAAAAAATTAGAAACGCATTTTTCCAACGAAAGCGGTTCACGAGAAAGTACAACACAGATGGATGTATAATTTACCAAATGATTCCTAATTGAGATACCTTTCACTTTTCCAACAACATGCGGCAGTTGATTCGCAAGTATTCCAGAGAACTCAAACAAGATCATTAGGATACAGAAAAAAAATCCTTTCGCATTCATCATAGAATCTCCTACTTCTCAGGAATTCCTTACACGCGCTCACTAAGTATAAACCAAAACTGCAACCACTAATTATCCGAAACAGGTTTTCTAAAAGATGCACTGAAATGAAATAAAAATAAAATGAGCAACTGCGCGAAGGAAAATAAAACCACTCAGCTGATGACAGCCCGCTTTTATCGGTATCTCCAAAACCACACCAGCGAAAATAGACAGCAACTGTGAGAAACTAAAATACTGTACAGTACTTCAAATGTTAGTCACCACCAAAATAAAAATAAAAGTAGTGCATAGATGTGAGGGTGCATGTTAGAGGGTTCCAAAACTGCGCGTGTCCAAAAATGAAAATAAATAAACGCAAATGACAAAAGATATGCAAGTCCAAAAGAGAATATAAAATTTACTAAAAATTACAACGAAATCCCTTCAGTATAAAAATACCATTTCTTCATAACAAGATAATCAGTTCAATACTTTTTGTTAATATTCCTCGCAAATATATTTGAAGTACTGGTTATGCTAATAAAATCCCATTGCAATAAATTCAGTGCAAATCTTCTTGTAGTTTTTTGACTTCGCTATGAAATAAAATTTTTTTTATAACAGACACAGGGTCAGGTTATCAATTTAATTAAATTTACTCAACTTTCGCGCCAACTACTTATTTTCTTCTCAACAACTGATGAAGGGATTTTTCATGTGCAGGAAAATAGATTAGCGGTCGAAATTGAATCCATTCATAAACTGCACAATTAATTTCAATCATAAAAATACATCCATCTGAATAGCTTCAGAATAAATTATCCTAGCCTAACCTAACAGACAGCGTTAAATTTTCAAGTACGAAGGCTCTTCAGTACTCCTTTAAGCAGTCGCTCTTTCGCACACGCGCTGTTTCGGAACACGCTCATTTTGTCCACGTCACAGTGCGTTGAAAATCGGCGAAAAGAAAAAGAAAACACAAAGCACCCATTGGAGAAGAGAGAAGGACGCACTGAGTGAGGGAAACGGGGAAAATATTTTGCGCACATTTGTGTGAAGTAGTATCGTCTCATCCGGCAGATGCAGAAGATATCGGTGTTTTCGTGCGTACAGGAAGAACAGGAAAGAGGTGTGAAGGAGTACTTTTTTTCTTTTGCTTTCTCTCTCTCTCTCTTTTTTTTTCATTCACAGCCTTTTTCGCAGGAAAAATGGGCGAATTGTTTTCTGTTCATGCGAAGTGCTATCTTCGGAAAAACGACCTCCGATTCGGCTGGCATCGCTTTTCAAACCCCACGGTCTGCTCCAACGGCAAATCACAGGCACAACGGAACTTCCCACAGGCCTCGCAACGCGAAACCTACAAAACGAGTCTCCAATCTCATTACTAAAATGCAACTGTAGAAAATAAATCTCCATCTACACAATAAAAAAAAAGATTCTACACAAAATCACTACAGATTAAACGTCAGAATTCAATCAGGCTAAAAAAAAACAACTCCTACTACATGCTTCTAATTCCTTGATATGAAAAAAAAATCAAGTACTTTATCTGTTTCGATTTGCTCTTCCGTCAAGTTTAAATGTGATTAGTTCATTGTGCGATCAGCAAAACACCGTAAATTTAATTTTTAGGACGTTGCCATAAACGCTAAGCACCCAAAAATATCAAGAAGTCTGAAATAAACTGAACTGCAGAAGAATAAAAATCATATACGAGAACATCTGCAATAGAGACTTTCAAACAGTTTTCCGACTTCAGTAAAAAAAAGCCATCGTTTTTTTGCGGTGGATTGTTTTGCTCTTTGATGAATTTTAAACGTTCTTCGGCGAAAGCACATACTTTACATTCAAGTTTCAGGACGTCAATATTAAATTTTGCACGATAAAAGCTCCACGTCAGAAAAGATCAAGGTCAGAAATGAACCGAGAGACACAAAAATCGTGAACGAGAATATCTGCATCAGACTTTCAAATACTTTTTCCGACGTGATCTCGGAGAAAGAAAGAAAGATCATATTGTACTTTTGTTTTCTAATTCATCATGACTCCGAATTTTATGATCTGTGTTCTCGGAGCTATAAAAAAACTGGTAACATTCTCAAAAAATTCCAATGTAAAAAAAAAAATCAATGCTCGTGTGTATTGCAATTCGAAATGACGGAATGGATTGGGTCACGCACCCCGACTTTTCGTAGAAGGTCGCCAACGATGTTCAGCGCAGATATTCTTGCGGACGGCGTCAGCAACCCGTTCGATGTCACGTTACCCAAGCCTGCAAAACACAAACGAGAATAAGCAAAATGATGAAAAAAAAATCGACAAACCATCGATCAAACGAGACTCAGTTCATAAAAACAGACTGGTATCCCCCAGCATGAAAGGAGCAACTTATCGCACAACCGCAAGAATATTATATTATGAACGTAGAACACGATATTGATCAATAAAACCGAGGGGAAGGTCAAGATGTGCAAAAGTCCCCACAGCTGTTTTTTGGTTGTTTGTTAAATGAAAAACAAAACGAAAACACCAAAAACAAGGAAGTACAGTAACTTGTTTGGTCGATGAAAATTTCCGAAATTACGTCGGCTCATTTCACTTCAACGTCGGACATCGCTTTCTGGAATCAGGTGAATCACTGACCTGACGGAAAACATTTTGACCTGAGTTAACGTCATCCAAAACCTGGAGACACATATGCAGTACAAAAGAAAAGAAAATCAGTTAAAACCGTCAGGAATTGAGATAGAAGTTTCTCTGGCATTAATTCTACGGATGATGATTTTTACATTAGTTTTTTATAATTTCCATCAAAAAACAAACGTCGATTGAATCAGTTATTTGGCCATACGTAAAGACCAAAGAATAAGTCATCTCCATTTTCCTAACGCAACTCTTCAAAAATCCTAACGAAACGCAGACCTAACAAAATAATGCGACAACATTCGAGCGACATCTGTGCAATGACGACAAAAATTGGATTCGTAGACAAACATGCCTTGAATCGAAAAGAACCAATTCTTCTCGACGTTCGCTCAACCACATGGTAAGTCGAGTTCACTGAGGACGAGTAATAATAGTGTCGTAATTATTAGCAATTAATAGTGACGAGAAAAGCATTTTTGAATTCACTCAGGAAACCTCTTGACGCCGAATTTCCTCGCAGATTCACAAATGCAATTATTATCATTCAAAAGTCATCATCAGGATGTTCGTGTTCGTTCCAAATCCAGACTGGGATAAATGAAAACACAGGACAAAAGAAGAAAAAAAAAAAGGACACAGAAGAGTTTTTGAGATCACAAACGCGCAAGAAGAAAGAAAACCCTCGGGATAATGCAAAAAAAAAGAAGAAACAAAATAGTTAGACTGAAATTAAGTAAGAGAGCATGTGAGTGCCTTTCGTGGGTGCGGTGTCCGGTTCCGGCAGCTTCCCGTTCATCCGCGCAATGTCTTGACTCAGGAGCGGCTTCGGCAACTTGGTCTCTTGCGTGGCGGTCGTCGGCTGCATGGCGCCGCACACGCATCGCACCCCGGTCGGCGAAAACGGCGGCTTTCGTTCCGTTTCGTTCCCGGTCGCCTTCACTTGCAGCTCGGATCTCAAGTCTGAAGAAAACAACACACAAAAGAGCCGACATGATTCAGTCAATTCAGCGATACGCCGGCCAACAGACGGTTTCGCATAAGATAATGTTTTTGCAAAACAAGACAAAGAAAAATTGACTGCAGACCTTGGTGTTTGGGACAATGCTACTTGCCCCAACACACAGCCCGCGGGCCGGATCTGGCCCACAGATACTCTTCATTTTACCCCGATATCCCTTCCCTATGATTTTAAGGCGGCAGGTGTCACTATTCAAAATATATTTCAGACGATTAATTTAAAAATTCAAAATGTTACTTCACCCATTAAAATTGCTATATGGCTATGCTTGTGATTCAATACAGAGAACTGAATACAATATGAAAATTTGAAGGACTTTCCACCTCTGCTATGTGGTTCTAGGCCAAACAATTGTATTAATGTGGTCCCAGGCCGCATCTGAATTTGACATCACTGGTTTAGGATAAAAGACTGCCTGAAAATTTGATCATTACTACTACTCTAGGATTTAAATTGTGGCGGCAAATATAAACCGCAGCATAATTTTCTGAAGAGAAGAAAATTATTTTATATTCTTCATTGTTATTCCTCATATTTGTGTCTCAGGAAGCGAAACAACATCGATTACTACTGTATTTATCAAGAATCATTCTTCTAGATAATCTAGAAACTTGATTTATGTGGAGTCCGGAAATACTGTAACTATATTCGGATGATATGTTGAAAAATTGAATTTTCTGAATAAAATTATATCCAATAAATTATACATTTTATAATTATATAACTACTGTATATAATTATATAACCGAATATATAATACAATAATTATACAGTGAGACCCCCACATGCGGACACCTCATCACATTAACAATTCGACATGGGGACACTTATTTTCCCATAAAATTTAATAAAAAAAATGCCCAACATGAGGACACTGACTCGACATGGGGACATTTTGTGATAAAATTGCAAATAAGTTTCAGGCCAAATTAGAAGAAACAGATATTTCCAACCCTAAAATTGATGTAAGAAAAGTTCTTGGTCATTTCTCCCACCAATTTACCATCCATTCAGCTAATTTAAAAAAATTACCTCCAGCATAGAGTGACTTCCTTCTCTTTTTTCACTCGAATGTTATTTTTTTTTAAGAGAATGCCAACATTCCTATGTACTGTACAGAGGTATCAGTATTCAATTCCCCAAATGTCCATATTATGTTGAAATATATTGATTGAATCAGTTTATATTGGGAGACAATTTTTATTTTCATAGAATTATGGTATTTTATCAATAAAACACCAATTAAAAATTATATAATGTAAGTCTAAGGGAAAATGAGACTCAAAATAGGGTCACTCTTGATGCACCCTGTCCGCATCTTGGGGTCTCACTGTAATTTACTGTACATGCAAAATACTATTCATACAAACAAGCTCAAGAAGCTGAACAAGTGTGAATTCCTCGCACTGAAAATGCCAAAATCCTCAACTTAACCTTCTGAAACAGAACTATGAAAAAGCAGTACCTGAACAATTTCAAAAACTAGATTTGTCACAGTCTTCTCGGACAAAAACCGAGAGGAACTTTCCTCAAGATTTTCCATGTAAATCCTCCATTGATTGTTTGACAAGAACACACGGGAACAGTATTTCGATTTAAGCTGGAAGATTAGGATACGAATTTACCGGTAGCGGTTCTTGGTTAAATCACCGAAAAAAAAAGCTGCTTAAAAGATGAGCTGGAAAAATCTAGCCTTTTTTCCCCTACACCAAAAGCTGACTTGAAAACTCTGAAAATAACTTGTAAAAAAAAAAAGCCTTACGTTCTCTCATTAACGTAAAACGAAGGGGATTTCTGTGGTTAGTTCCTCATTCGAGAAACCTCAACAATGTACACATCGATTCTACAACTTTCAGTGCAGTACTTCTCAAGAAATCCCTCACAATGCTCGGACTTTCGAAGAACAGTCAGTCATTCGGCTTCCATTGTTCACTTTCCTTTTCAGTCTTAAACATAAATTGAGTAAAAAAAAAAAAAAAGGTTGGAACCCTGGCCTTGAAAATGTATACAGTACTGTACTACAATTTAAACTGTAAAAATTATCCTTCACAGAAATAAACCGAGATATCACACAGTCGAAGATGCCGTACAAAAGCTGCCTCGGACAAAATATTCCATCGAATTTGTCAAATATGAAGGAGGCGGATTGAAAACGTCAAGTCGTCACCGGGGATTTTTTGAAAGTCTCCGAAACCACCTCAAGCTTTTATCCTTTTCCATTAATTTTTATGAATTTAATATTTATTGATTTAAAATTGCAAATTCCAAGGTCTTCGCGGAAACGCGAGACTAGAAATATTTCTTCAACTGCATCAGTAATTGAAGGTTTTAGCTCGGACGTCACGCAAGTTTTCCACTCCCTCTGAGTAAGATATTTCTACGATCAAAATAATTTAACCAGGTGTACAATACTCCTGGTGTAATAATCCTTCCCCAGTTTGAGTTCCAATTTTATAGCACTCAGGTTTGAAGTTGAATAAGCACTGCATTTCAGAATAATTTACCCATCAAGTTTCCAGGGAGTCGCAGCGCTAATCAATTCGATAATTTAAAAATCTCGCTCAGAATACTGCATAAGAGAAAATCCTCGTGCAAAATAATAATTTCTTTGAGCATTGTAATCGTTTAATTAGTTACGCTCAATGGGAGAGGTTGCCAAAAAATTGCAAATAGCGATAGGAAAAAAAACCGTCGAAGTTGGGGATAAAATAGAACAAAAATTAGTCGCTGATTTAGAGCAGGTATGTTTTAAGTTTGCGTCTTTATTCCACATTTGCTCCGGACGCTGATTCCGAAATTCGGAAAAAATAGCTCAATTCTGTGCTCAGTTTTGACTGACAAATTTTGAAGATGAAAATTTCTTACGCATTTAAGAAGAAAAAAAAACATCGAGTTAAAGTCGACGGATGACCTTCTCCAATAATTCACATTTTATTGTATCTAAAAGGTCCTTCGGAGCAATATCACGGTGTTGGCAAAACAATTGAAGAAACCCTCGTAACTATCTACAGTATAAGTATACGAGGGACGCATTTCAAAAACTTGCAATCGAAAACATTTTAAATTTCAAGATTTCAAAAATTCCATGGGCGACGGAAAACAGTACATCGGAGGGAAATAATGGGGGTAAAATATTTTCACAAAAATTCTGAAAATCCATAATTTTTTTTAGAACTACGGACGGCTATTTAATCCAAAATATTTCTAGAAACTTTTTGCCATACGTTGGCTGTAACTCTTAAATCAACATAACACGACGTTGCGAAATCTTTTTTTTTTTTTATTTATGCGCCACAAACTCACGAGGCTTGAAATTCGAAAAGCTATTCGGAAAATTCGAAAATTTCCGAACTGTCTCGAATATCTCTATAATATTTGCCGTTTTTCAATTTATAATCCTGTATTCATGTCCTCCAATAAACATGGGAAATCTTTTCACCTCTGACTTCGTCCTTCAGCCGCTGGACCATTTCTGATAATCGATCCTTTTCACCCAGTTCAACCTCCAATATCGCATTCCGTTCCATCTCCAGGTTCATCTTGTCTTCGAAGTCAGTCAACGAAACAGCCAAGGACCTGAAAATTCAACAATTCAAGTCAGGATTACCCGAGAAAAATTGACAGCACTGTGTCACAAATATGCACGATACTGACACTCGGGAAAGACTGAAAACTCGGATTGCGGTGGTAAAACCATATTATTATCCGGTAATGACTTTTATTTCACGACGTATTAGAACAAAATTGCCCCTGCAAATTTTAACAAAATTATTTCTGAAAAATGAAAGAAGACCCAAACTCGAGCTAATTAAAAATTCTCCTTCACGGCTAGAAAGATGTTCAAAAATGCGAGCAAATTTTCGAAGAAAGTATTTTACAATACCTTACGTGAACAGTATATCGATGCACAAAGCTCACGCTTGGAATAAATTTATTCGGAAAAAATTTAGTAGATTAAAAAATTAATCTAA